TGGGGCAGGTGGGGTCAGAGGGATGGGTGAGGGGACAGGGACAGGTATTTTCAGCAGGGTGCAGGGACAGGAGTTCCCCGGGGTATGACTTGGGGCACGGAGGGCAGGTGGTCCTGGGGGGCACCAGGGGCACGAGGCTGCTACCACCACCCCCAAAACCATCCCTTCTCTCCCAGGATGGAGGGCTATGGCTCGGCCGTGATGTCGGCGGGGCGCGAGTACCGCGGGTCGCTGCGGGACGGGATGTTTGACGGAGAGGGAGAGCTGCTGTTCCCCGGCGGCAGCAGATACCAGGCTGTCTGGCACCGCGGGGTGGCCACGCAGGTACCCGGGCTGGGGAGCTTCACCCCGGGGGTCTCCGTTATCAGGAGTCACCCCGCCTGGAGGCCTCACTGCAGGGGAGCTTTGGAGGTGAAATACACGGATTTTTGAGCCGAGCCAATTTTTGGCCCCCTTCAGTGTCAGGGGAGGCTGCTGGTGTCCAGGCATCTCTCAGACACAGCTCCCAGTGCTGCAAAACCTGAGCTGAGCTGCTCTGGCCCTGCTGGGGCTCTGCTGGTGGAACCTGGCCTTGGCTTTCCATCCATCCATCATGTTTATTAACTCTGTGCTTGAACATGTTTTGCAGGGGAAATACGTTTTTGCAGATGGCCTCGAATACGATGATAAAAAATGGAATTACTGCGACGGCTACGACAGAAGATTTTATACAGAAATCTGTTCTGGTTTCAAACCACCAGGTACTAAATTGCGTTTGCAATGCTGAGAGTCTGGAAGGAATTAAACTAACAACTTTGCTTAAGAAAGATTAATTCGGCTACATGAGTAACATGGAGCAGAAATGCTCTGGCTAATTTCAGACAACTGTATGACGCTGCCAGAAGAATGCTGACACCACCTTCCACCAGCACAGCCTGGGATGTACAGCCACAGCAGGGTCTCCTGCAGTGATGACCCACAGGGCAGGGCTTTGTTAGCTACAGCTTTTGAAAGCCCCACTAACCCTCTTACACATTGCACCTTCACTGCATTACAGGGTGTTTTATTATAGAGAAAAGCTGAGCAAATCAACTCGTTTACATCCGGAACGTCAAATTAAGTTCCAAGCATCTGCCCCACGTAGCATTTTAGTAGATACCAAACCAGACATTTGTGTCCAAATTATAATTTTGCTAAAGAATTTCATAATATTATTTGTCTGCAGTTGAAAGGTGGAAAGATTTATAAGGAAACAAGTGAGTAAAATGTGTAACATAATACCCACAATTCTCTATCCATAGAATATTTTAGTGATGACATGGTGTTCTGTGAGGCCAGAGAGTCTCTCCTGGCCCCAGTTTGGATTTTAGGGTCGTGTTTATAATGTTATCTTGGTGGGCTGAATCATAGGAATGAGGAAATCAAAGTGGTATCTTTGTATCACACACGTTTTATGTGTGCATTTTTCCATTTTCATCTTCTCCAGCTGCAAAATGGGAAAAATGTCCTACAAAATTCGTTGTAACTGTTGTTTTTACAGCAAACACTATGGAGATGTATTTGTTAGTTATCTTCATCAAAGGCACAAATTAAAAGAAAAACCCAAACCAAAATCAAACCTTTATCATTTTTTCCCTCAGGCATTCCTCAGTTTACAAATCTGGATCCTCCCAGAATAATCCCAGAAGGTTGTTACGACTGTGGTGATGGATTCTATAATCCTGAAACCAGAGTTGTTGTTGACTACCAATTCGAGTTTCTGAGAAATGCAGGTATGATTAACTTCTGCAAGGTAAACTTAAATGAGTTTATTTGTCTTATCTTCTAGGCTGATTAAAAACCTCCATGATTTGGTTCTCTTGTTCCTGAGCTACAATATCTTTTACCAGTGATTTATGTATCCCCAGAGTTGTATAAATCATATTTTGCAGAATTACAATGGAGTATTCCCAAGCAGATATGAATAAATATATTTTATTACCATTTGGTATGTTAATCTCAGAAAAATTTTCAGCCTCTTCTATTATGATCTCAAGCAAGGGAGTGGCTGTGAGGTGCACATCACTGATCCTGAGAGTTAAAGAGCTCCATGCTGTGAAACAGCAAAGTGCTTAAGCCTCTGCTTATCTCTAAGTGTTAAAATGAGTCTTAGTCTTACCTTCCTGAACAGGAAATTCTCACCTTGGAGAGCTGTTTAGAGTAGTCTGGCAATACTTGGTCTCATGGAAAAGTCCCCAAATTCATAAGCCTTGGGGAAAATTAATTCTCATCAAGCCGAAAGAGAAACTTTTCAAATGAAAACCACCATGGATCCCCACACAGCTGACACTGGGATAGCTCAAAAAATGCAAACTGACCTGAAAAAAAGCCCACTTTGTGTTCTGCCTATTTGTATTTATCACCTTTTTAGTGTAGAATTTCTTCAAAGCAAAATGATTTCTGAGAGCCACCACCCACTCTGCTTTTTAATTTTCCCCCAAATGTCCAAATTACAAAACCTGAGGTTTTCCCTAGAAAACAGAACATTTCCTTTTCAGTGTGCCACAGTTGAACAGTTTTGTTGCTTGGAAACTCCATTTTTTAGCAAATTTACTATTTGTTGAAAAAAAATTCCTGCTCTGCTCTACTTTTCAAGAGCTTTTGTAAGTGTGCAGTGTGATATTGGAGGAGGGAAGTGAGGGGGGGGTTCAAATGAATTGTAGATACCATCTGCTATAAAATATACCCTATGATCCATGGCCTGTTTTATAAACGTTGAATAAAAACTGATCTGGATTATTACAAATGGCATTGATCCAAAACACTGGAATGCAGTGGGCCTACTGATGAGGAAGATAAGCAACATGCTTTCCAAAAACACAGGAACCTACACAGATTAGTACAGGAGGGAACGCCTTGGAATTCAATTTATTGTTTTTTAATCTGTTCTTTGAACTCATTGTCCTTTATGACATTTATCTCAAACCCTACAAACTCTATCAATCAATATTGGCTCGGCAGCCCGGCCCAGCGTGCAGCCTGACAGTGGAGATGGGCTTTGTGTGGCTCCTCCAGTGAGAGCCTTGTACACAAAAGCTGAAGTTGTTGATGTGAGTGTGAAGAAGGAATGTGTCATGTAGGCCAGACCCTTCCTCTCAAGAACATGAACACAATTGAAACACCCGGCACTTGTTCAACATCAGAGGAACTCTCCCCGCCCCAGGAGAGATGATTCAGGGCACAAGGCCACTGAAGTAAAGAGACAAAAAAAATAATTAAAAAAAAAAACCCAGCTGCAAGCAGAAGAAACTGAGGAAGAAGCTGAGATGACAGGGAACAGATCCAGAATTACTCCATTATAGGTTGGGCAGGAAGGAGCAGGAAAACCTCCAGGCTACCAGCCAAGTCTTGAAAGCATCAAAAGCAGATGGTAGGAAGCATTCAGGAAGTTCTTACAACAGCTTGACAGGTTTACCAAGATGACACTATCTCCCTTGGCCCTGGCAGCAGCTTTGCAGAATGCTCCAGTTCTCACCTTTCACCCCAGCCCTGTTATGAAGCAATTCCTAATTGTCCCTTAGCTGTTTGTGGAAGAGAGCAAGGAAGCCTTGGCACTACCTTGTCTCCAGCCTGGCAGCAGCCAGGTACTGCTCCAGAAGAGAACAGAGCCCATTTGAAACTCCTGAGTTTGTCTCCACCATGGCTCTGTGGAGATGAGAGGATGTCGAGGGCCACAGAGACTCCTGATAAATCTGGCAAGCCTTGAGTTTTGCTAGCGTGGAGGTCTGATACTCATTTACTCCAAGAGCTCTCACTGCTGAGGCAGTGCAAAGGCTCGTTGTGAAAGCATAATCAGGCCCAGGGAGTGAAATGACAGCAACAGTTTAGTTATATGTTTTTATCTAGCGAAGTTTTCCAAATTCTCATTACGGCCTTGCAGTTATTGCTCCGTCCCTAAACCTCTGCTTCCTCAGGGATGCTCAAATTTCTCTTGATTCTCCATGTGTTCTTCTAGCTTTGCTTTCTTTCCAGTATTGCGAAGTACGAGGAGTTGAGCACATAAATAAGAATGGGAATGCTCATTTGTAAGGAGAGATGTTGTTTATTTTGAATAGATACTGGGACCAGGCTCCTGTTTCACTAGGAGTATTACTTTATTTGTTCCCCCTGTAGAAATAGGATTCCTGGCACCTTTGTAATAGAGCTTGGTCAACAGAAAGATGGGAAGATTTCCCAATTTTTCAGTGAAAAGTACAAACTACATGATGCTATTTTTAATGCAAAGCAGGGAGGTACAAGAAGAGCTGTGACAGTGAGGTTTTAGGACCCTTAAATATCAGAGAAGCTCAAAGAGGAAATGCCATCAAAAAGAGGATTTTTTTTTTGTGCTGAGATGGATAAGATCACAGGAGATTGCCTGGGTCACCTCTCTTGTGATGAAAAGCAAAGGTTTCTGATGAAAATTGCCTTGTTTCTCCTGTGGTTCTCCCAAGGATGGGTTAAATAGTATAAAACATGCTTTTCCTATTTCTAATATGAGAATATTTGTGCTACTACTTTCATATTCCATCTTCAGATTTAACTAGCATGTGTTGGGTGCATAGGGGAACATCCCATACTGCAGTCAATGTTACCTGAAATGTATGCATCTTCTCCCATAACATTGAGAGCAGTAAAACACAAAACCTGCCCTCAGAGCTCAGTCAGGGAACTGAATTAAGAGCAGAATTAGGCCCAGAAAACCAAGATAAGTGTCTTATTAAGAGGAGGGGGATTGGTGTTGCTGCAGTCCCAAACCAGCCAGTAATCAGCATTTCTACAAGCCTGAAAGT